TGTCTTGGGTCCTTGGTGGTTAGTAGTTTTGGTACCTTTGGGTACCCATATCAAACCATAAAAATCTTCATTGTCTTTAATTCTACAATGAGTAGAAATGTGTCCATGTCTCATACAATAGGTGCATACAAAATTTCTTTTGTATGTACGAATGTTAGAACCATGAAACCTATTTCTACCATGGTGATTGTAGTTGGCATAAGCATGAGTGGGTCTAGTCCTACAACCCTCAATTTCTAGTCTTTCAATCTTTGATCTTAATTGCTTGTTCTCAAAATCGAGATCTCCAAGCAATTCATCTTTTAGAGCAAGAGAGGTTGTTAGTTGTTCTAGCTTAATATCACAAGAGGCATGCAATTTTTTGAAAGAAGAGTATTCTTTAGACATTCTTTTAAATTCAAAGTTCAACTCTTCTAAAGCCATAGCTATGTCACATTGCATATAAAAAGATTCACTTTCGGCCTCGGATATTACCTCATGTTCATTTGCCATGAAACAAACATTTGGGTCATGAAGAGCAAGTTTGGCTCCTTCTTCATCACTATCCGAGTCACTTGGTTCGGATTCTTCCCATCCGGCATACATAGCCTTCTTCTTCTTGTACTTCATGTACTTTTCTTTGAGCTTGGGGCAATCCTTAGCGATGTGACCCGGTTCATTGCACTCAAAACATTTACCTACACGAGAGGAAAACTTGTTGTTAGATCGAGGGTTAAATTTTTTGTTCATTTTTATAAGTCTAGAGATTCTTCTAGAGAGATGAGCCACTTCTCTAGAAAAATCAACTTCACTCTCCGACGACGAAGATGAGTTGTCACTAGCTCCCTTGAGAGCTATGGTCTTCAACTTTGGTGACGGCTCCTCAACTTCTCGTGATGGCACTTCCTCCTTCTCCTTCCCCTTGAGCTTCTTCTCATGCACTTTGAGCTTTCCGATGAGACTATCAAGAGCTAAGATAGTGAGGTCATGAGCTTCCTCAATGGCCGTAGCCTTGGGCTCCCATGCCGGAGTCAATGAGCGAAGTATCTTGTAGTTCATCTCTTGAATGGATAATTGCTTATCTAGACCATGTAATTCATTGATGATATTAGTAAAACGGGAAAACATAGCATCAATGGATTCATTAGGAAGCATTTTAAATAGCTCATAATCATGCATGAGTCCACTAATCTTAGATTCCTTAACTTGGGGTGTTCCTTCATGTGTGACACATAATTTTTGCCAAATTTCGTATGCGGTTGCACACGTGGAAACCCTATTGTATTCATTGGGGGAAAGACCACAGATTAAGGCGTTCATGGCCTTAGCATTGAGATTGGCAAGGTGCCTTTCATCATCGGACATGTTCTCAACTTTGGACTTCTCTACATATTTCTTTTCTATAAGCCCTAGGATGTCAAGATCAATGCAACGAAGGTAAATTCTCATCCTAGCCTTCCAATAAGCAAAATTGGTCCCTGTGAAGAGAGGTGGTCTAGTGGTGGATTGTCCTTCCAACATATGCATATTCAAAGAGGCCTCCATTAGATCTTTTCTCTAAGGTTGTTAAACCAAAAACTGATATAGAGACCAAGCTCTGATACCAATTGTTGGACCCTAGAGGGGGGGTGATTAGGGTCAAGAGGCTCTAATATGCAATATAAAACTCAGCACAAGCAAACCACAAAACAGAAGTGCAATCAAATAGAAAGAGATAGAGTTAGGAATCGTTATCCTTGACGCGCGATGTGTTAACGAGGTTCGGCCCGCTGACCTACGTCCCCGCTCCCCACTCTCGAGGAGAAATCCACTAACACATCCGGTTTGGAAGCCGGAACTTCGTCTACACAGCGATCCCACAAGATCTCTCTCTCACTACACAGTTTGATCTCACAGATCACACTCCCTCACAGTAGATCTCCACAGATCTCAACCACACAGCAGCAGAAGAAAAAGCAAGCAAGAACCTCTCTTTACACAAGCCCCTATAGCAAAGAGAAGAGTACTGAAGCTGGGAAGTGAAACACACTTGAAACAGAGAGAAAAACAGAGTTTTGAAAATTTTCTCAGGAAACAGAAAAAGCTCTCTGGTTTTCAAACGTTAGGGCTTAGAGGAAGAAGAAGAGGTCTGGGGATTTTATAGGAGAGTTTAAATCATTTTAAAACAAAAAACAAATCTACCCAAATGAGATAATAATCTCTTCTTCAGACCCTCATCACAGACTGTGCCAATCACTAACAAGTGAAAGCACAGGGTTCGAGGCAAACGACCGTTTTAAAAAAGTCGCGGCTGAACAGAGGCAAAAATCGGTTGACCGAAGAAAATATCGGTCGACCGAAAAATACCTTCGGTCGACCGACCGAAAAAATCGGTCAACCGCCAGCAGCTAAGGAGTTTTGACAAAACATCCAGAGACTCATCGGTCGACCGGCACGGTCGACCGATTAAGGGTTGAGAAATTCGGTCGACCGTATCGGTCGACCGACGACACTCTGGAGACATAGTGAAGAAAGGTCATCGGATCGGTCGACCGGACCGGTCGACCGATTTCTGACATATTCTGAAATCAGGTTATTTGACCAAGTTGAAATATTTCCAAAATATTCATTTGACCTCTGAAAATTCTGAAACTTTGTAAAATGTTTTTAATACTAAAAACAAACTGCTTGGAAAAAGAATTTTGCAGATAGGTACTCAAACTTGTGAAAAATAGTATTTTGTGAAAAACGCTTAAAAGCACAAGTTTAAAAACGTGTGTGTGATTCCCAATAGCTTCAAGTAAACTCAGTAACTCTTTGCCTACATTCTAGCACTAGAGAGAAAAACAAAAGAAAGCTAATATCCTCATATAGAGAGCAATATACTTGAGCTTTGATATAGCTTGAATCGGATGAAGCTTTTAATCGAATTTGACGTTCTTGAAATAACGTTGCTTCATCTCTTGGCCTCCTCCTCCTTTGGATATCTTCGTTGTAGCATATATTCCATCCATCCTCCGTTAATGGCACTAACGAGCTTGACAAATGATTTTACTACATTTACACTCAATAAGCCATTAGTACCGATAATGGTGGTTGTAAGAACATCATCAAAACATAAGGGCTAACAGCCAAGACATAAGTAAATAGTTTTTTAGGGGTGCAGGCTGCTAAGATGTTTTGGGTGACCCCTTTTCGCCCTCTAAACCGTGCAACTAGGTCACTAGGTAACACCACATCGACGTGTGTGCCATCTATCAAACCAATACAGTCCTATAAAAAATTATAAATTATACATAGTTCAATAAAAAGTAATTTATTTGAAAATTTGTTAAGATGAATGTATTTAATTTACCTTAAAGTAAGAAAAATAATTTGAGTTGTTTGCAATCTCCACGGGAACTTCTTTTTAGGCTTGCTTCATGTACCGATCACGTAATCCATTCATTGCTTGCAAGACTTTATTGAAATACCTGCTAACTGTTTCTCCTGATCTTATGAACTCAGTTATTATTATTCTATTTTTAGTTTTATGCCCCACAATACTTAGGAACATAGCAAGCTGTTCTTCAACTTGAACGTGTCTTGTATCTTTTAATAAACCGTTTGCTTTCATTACTTTAACAAATTTAAAAAAGGCCCTCGGTCTCATTCTATATAAGATCGCCGGCTATCTTGATAGCCCTCTAATACACGTCTGAAGTGCGCCTCTCTACAATATATTTTTCTAATCTTTTCTTGCTTCGTACAAGTTGATATTGTCTTGCGCTTAGCACGCATTCTCAAAATACATGTTACCAAAGTGACCATGGCGCAAACAGCTGTATTAGCACACATCCTCTTCAATTCTTCTTCATCTTCCATATCCATCTACATCCGTTTTAAAATTAGCATACATTTACATCTTATCTTGTCTACTTATTTAAGTTGAAAATTAATTAGATAATTAATACAAATATTAATTCTTTGTATCACAAGAAATCTAATTATACTGAATTTTATTTTAACTAGTGGTGCATTCGATTTCACACAATTATCAATAACAACACATTCTACTACCGGTTCCTTTAATGTAATGAATTTAACCCCATTCTTTGGTAAACATAACCCTATTCTTTTTCATGCATTCACATTCTTTTGTAATAAACACAATTATCAAGAACAACACATTCACACAAATATCATGCATTCTATTTCACACAACTAACTGAAATTTAGTAAACATAATCCTATTCTTTGTTAAAATTCCTAAATAATGAATTATCACACAACTAACTGAAATTTAGTAAACATAACTAAAATTTCCACATAACATAACTGAAATTTATCGCACAACTAACTAAATAGAACAATATCGATGCGAACAATTGCATTCTATTTCACACAACTAACTGAAATTAAATAAACATAACCCTATTCTTTGTTAAAATTCCCAAATCTATATACTATTACTAAAAACTCTTCCCTTTAGAAGCGCCATGTGGCAATTTCATATTTTTTTAAATTTTTCTAAAAAAATTTAATCAGCAAATTGAATCCGTGCTTCATTTCCAAAGCTCCCCTCTTCATTTCCAAAGCAAATTGAATTCGTTCCAGACTTTTCCCCTTTCTTCATTTCCAAAGCTCCCCTCTTCGTATTCGCCTCCTAAACTTTTCCCCTTTCTCTCATCTCTAGCTCCTCTCTCTCCCTCCCGCTCTGCGTTCAACCTTCTCATCTTCCCAAGTCCTCCGCCAGGTCGCTCTCAACTAAAACCCTTTCCCAATTTCGAAGCTCCTCAACTAGAGAAACCATCTTCGACCTTCCATTTTTTTACGATTTCTGCAATAAAAAAAGAGCGGCGAAATGGCCTCCACCGGATCCGATCGCGTCCTCCGTGGCCACCGCGCCTCCTTCATGGACGCATGGTTCCACTCCTCGAGACCTCTTGTCTTCACTGGGTAAATCATTATCTAATCCAATCTCATTTCGATTCAGTCTCTCTTTCTTCTTCTTCTTTTTTCCCCCTCAGAAAAACCCTATTTTGTTGCTTCCAGCGCTGCCGATGGAGAACTTCGAGTTTGCGATACGGTGCAGCATCGAACACTGTCCTCGACTTGGTACTCAATCCTCTTCTCAATTGCTTTGATTTTCTTGATGGTTTTTTGATGGTTAATTGCACTTTAACACCCCAAAGTTTAATCTTTTTTGAATTTTGGTGATACCCTGAAGTTCTATTTTAATAAATTGATACCCCCATAGTAGAAAATAGTCGGCGTTGATTTTGTTAAAGGATATCAACAAAGGAAAATGAGGAACTTTGATGTATCAAATTGTCAAACTAATCTCAATTTGGCAGCTTTTGGGGTTTTGAAGTGCAAAAGGCCCTTTTAATTAGATAACCCCCAAATCGATGCATTTACTTATTTTAGCAGTTTTGAAGTTCTTACTTTTGTGATTTAGATTTTCTTAGACATTTGAATTTTAGGTTATTTACCAAAAAAACCTTTGGTCCAGTAATGTTTTTTTATCAATTTATAGATTTTATTATTTAGGTTTTTCTTATTTTTGGTCACATAATTCAAAAATAAATTGTCAATGCGCACATGAAACTTTAGAATTAATCACTTCGCTATTACACAAAACTCAATTAAAGTAATTTGATTTTGTCCATCTTTTTTCCTAGGAAATTTCATACTTGCAATTAACCTGTTTCATTACATTATGAAATCAATGCGATGAAAGAATGTTTGAGTTTCTGTTTTATGATAAATGTGAGGGTCTAATTTTCAGTCAGAATCGGTGATTATTTTGTGGATGGCAATAAAGGAAGTTTCCGGGATTTAATCGTTTTAACTATATTCTGATGTTCTAGATATCTTGACAAAGGAGAACATTGCTGAACCAATGATGGATATTAGGAGGGCTCTCTTGGAAGCAGATGTGAGTTGGTTATTGTTCATATAAACACTTTTTTAAACACTTTTTTTTGGTTATTGTAGTTCTTCCTTAAAAATAAAAAGATTATCAGCTGCATTGGTTTCTGTTAGTAAGTTGGTTATGAGTTTTAATACACCCCATTTGGACAGGTAAGTTTGCCAGTAGTGCGAAGATTTGTGGATGTGGTTAGTGAACGAGCTGTTGGTACTGGGCTGATTCGAGGGGTGAGACCTGATCAACAACTTGTGAAGGTAAAAGTGGAACGAGCTGTTGGTACTGGGCTGATTCGAGGGGTGAGACCTGATCAACAACTTGTGAAGGTAAAAGTGGATATACCCATGAACTATTTCATTAGTTATGTAGATGTCTGACTTCTTTTCATGATTTTTCCCTTGAAGTTTGTTCATGGAAATAGTGTAACTATAATCTATACCATATGTCTGTTGCATACAAAGAAATGACATATTCTAAGTATATTGACTGCAATAAGGACCCTGGTAACTGACACTTGCTTCAACACGAGTCAAGTCCTATTTAAAAGGCTTTGACATATTAATCACCATGAGCTCACATAGAGTCAGATCATGAGTTTTGCTAATAGACCTTCTTGTCCAAAGTAACTACAAAGTTGTTGCTAGCAGCACCGATGATTAACATCTCAAACCCTTTTATTTTTGATAAAGAGTAGATACGTTATTAGGACAGTAACAAGTAGACAGATATATGAGGAGAGTTAAGCTTGACCCTGCATAACTGAATACTTTTGGCATTGAGATATAGAAAAATGCCAAATCAAATCCTTTGTCTTTTCCATTCACTTCTAGAAGTTCTAGCTTTATTGTGGCAGAGATTGTATTAATTCTAATACTTTTATATATTGCAGATTGTAAATGATGAACTTGTGAAATTGATGGGTGGAGAAGTGTCTGATCTTGTATTCACGAAGGCTGGTCCAACAGTAATAGTACTTGCAGGCTTACAAGGTGTTGGAAAGACTACAGATTGTGCCAAGCTTGCCTTTTACCTAAAGAAGATGGTACAGTCGGAGGCCCTTTTATCCACATTTTAGTACAGTCCGAAGCCCTCCATTCTATTGATACTATTACTAATAGAGATGACACAGATTACAGGGGAAAAGTTGCGTGTTGGTTGCTGGAAATGTGTACAGGCCTGCAGCTATAGACCAACTCTCAATTTTGGGTGAAAAGGTATATTGCTATGATCTCAGTAGGATTTTATCTGATTCTAAAAGAAGAAGAAAAATCCAATTATGGTGTTTTTTTATTATATATCAACCTTTTAGTATTGATTTATGTTCTACTTATCTTTATTATCATTTTTTGTGAAGGGCAGTATTTTCTTTATCATGAAAAGGTAGTTAGACACATAAGAGTTGACATAAGAGTTGTGCATTGCATCTTTGCTTCTTTTGTTTCCCTTTTCTGATAAGTGATAAAGCCTCATGTTTCGTCCAACATTCTTGAGATACGCTATCACTGATTTACTCTTTTTTATTGATTCAGTTGTTATCATTCATTCTATAGAGTCTATCTGTTTCCTCTTTTGCATGCCTTCTTTGTATTATCTGATTTCTTTTCACACTGTGTTCTCCCCTTCTTTTTCATGTGACAGATAGGTGTGTCTGTTTATAAAGAAGGAACTCAAGTAAAGCCTTCACAAATTGCTAAAAATGGTCTTGAAGAAGCCAAAAAGAAGAAAATCGACGTTGTCATGGTGGATACCGCAGGAAGACTGCAGGTTCTCTTAGAAGCTGAAATTATATATTCATAGATATCTCCATTCAGTTGTAGATCTTTATTACATCAATATGTAGTCTGGCTTTTATAGATTGACTCTGGTAGTATTAATTATAGTTGTATCTTTTGTCGTCTCTGGTAAGTTTTTATGTCAATTACGTTTTATTTACATTTGCTATAAATTATGTTCTGTTTTGGTTTTGCAAATATTAAAATAATTGCTTGATTCATAACAACCTAATGGTATGTGTTATGGAAATACAAAAGTAGATTTATCTTTGAACTGGTACCAGATAGATAGTGAGGATGTCAGAATGTCGCCTCACAACTTTGTACTGTATACTACTTCCTTTATTACAATCCAACTGAAATACATTGATAGAAGTAATACATTTTCTAAATTTTGATTTTTGTTAGGGCTCCATACCCAATTTTCTTCTCTATGTCCTGCTTCAGTTTCATTCGTAACATTTTTCTACCCTTAATGCTCATATCCAACATTGCCACGTGGTTGCATGATTTTTCCAATCACGGTAAAAGTCAAATTTCTACATGGTCTATGGAGGGTCGTGAAACCATTAACTTGTCAATGAGTGGTATTAGTTCTATACATTAGCACTTTAATATATTAGTAGGTATTGGGCACTTTCTAGCCATGTTTAGCTTTAGAATTGGGCATCAAAAAGCGCAAACATTGGATAAGCAGAATATATGCATAGCTATATAACTTAGAAAGTTGAGGATTATCTGTACAAGCTACAAGCTACCTTGCTTATGAATGGATGTCGGTTGCATCATGCATGTTAAAGGAAAAAATCTGTCTCGCAGCTTTAGCTTTAATTTCAGTGTTTTATATGCAAATATTTTTTATTCTTTGGCATTTTAATGAAAATTTTCTCTGCAGCCATTCACAAGTTTCATATGTGAATAATCCCACTTACATCTGCCATTCACAAGTTTCATATCTCAATGATCCCACTTACATCTGACCAAAATGTAATTTTTAAAAAAAAATAAAAAAAGTAATGCCAATAACTGTAACTTATCTCAACATTAATTACCCCTTTATAATTACCCCTTTATTACACGATTTTTTATAAATACGAAACTTTATATATTATTATTGTTCTATTTTGTATTATTTTGTATTCTTTTGCTACATCAATATATATTAATCATATATTTAGCTTTGATGCACAAGACTTAAATCTGCTGGGTGAAGAAATGCAAAGTTGTACATTACATGTTTGTAAAATTAAATGGTTGAAATATGACAGTAAATGCAAACTATCATGTTGCTTTTGGCTGAAATTTGACATAGTTGATGCACTCTAATTTGACATAGTTGATGCTAATTTGACAGATTTCAATTCTTCCATGAAAAGAGCGCATTCTATCTTAGGTTGTTATTTTTTTCTACTGTTGTTTTGGACAGTTATGGTTTTTTTTTTTCTATAGATAGATTGGTACATTGCTCTCTCTTTCATTTTACAACAAGAAAAAAATGAATACAAAAGGCAAAGATAGAATTAAAGATATTTCTACCTATACAAGTGTATTTTTCTTTTCTTTCTATATAATTATATTTTTGTTGTTTCAGATCTGTTTGTTTTTTGTTTATCTTTACTATTGGTAAGTGATGAACTCAATATAATTTTACTGGAATGTATTTATCCTATATTATGTTTTGTTATTTTTCTCCAATGGCAATGTATTTCACTTCAATTTTTTGTTCTTTCTTATGTTTATATAGAGTATGTGAAAGTTGGATTTTATTTAACTAATTGAGTACTTCTTATGACGTATTCTTATGGTTTGATGATGTTCTTAAATTGCAATCATATAAAATTTTCTTACACAGACTTTATTTGATTAATGTATTACATTGTCTCTTATTTTCGTTAGGTGGATGTCATACACCCCTTACATGATAGGTATTATATTTTCTTTGTTTTTTTACATTTCAATTTTATTTTACCAATTTCTTTGGAAAGTTATCATCGATTTAATTATTAATATGACTCGCACAAAATTTTCAAATATTATTTTCCTATGTTTACATTTTTTCAAACCTTTCATTTTTTTAATTTTTTTAAGTTTACCCACTTTTGGTACTTTTTTGACATTTCACCTTAATTTTGAATTTTTTTTTCTACCTTTTAATAATAAAATAACTCCCATCATATTTCTGAATACCGTTTTTACACATTTATATTTTTCAAACTATATATGATCTTAAACTGATTCAAGTTTTTCAAACTTTCTAATTTTTCAAACTATATATGCAATTTATGTTGTATCATTTCTGACTACTTATATATTATTATTGTTTTATTTTGTATTTTTTGCTACATCAATTTTTGTATATTAGACAAATCCGTGCATCGCACGGGCCTGAAACTAGTAATGAATTATCACGAACAAAAAAGAGGGGGAAAATCATATACCTTGAGTTGCAAAGGGGGAAAAATGTCGACGTCCAAGCAATAAACCTAACAAACCCACCAAAGCCGGGATCAACACCGTAGCCAACAAACCCACCCGAACCAACACAAGTTCGAGAAGGGATCACCAACAACCAAAGCCAAGGAACCCACCAACAAGAAGTTGGAAAAAAAAATCAAAGAAATCACGGCTCAACAAGAGGCGGGATCATATTAGAAGGAGAAACCGATTCGACATATAAATCTACAAAAAATCATGGCTCAACTAGAGCTAGGGTTTCGAGTTCCAGACACGACCACGCACAAGCCATGACGAGAGGTGGGAGAAGAGAAGCGAAGAAGAGGCGCAAAGAAGAGAGCGTTGTGGCGGTAGAAGAACAGCGGGGAAACCACGGATCAACAGATCTAGGGTTTCGTAGATTAGGAATCGGAATAAGAAAGAGGAGAGGTGTCAGAAATCCCGCCCAATTCCTCTCAAATGGAACGGATTTGGGTTTCCTAAAATATCAACTGTTTGAGCCACTTTATAGATTAGCAATTCTATAAATTTTTTTGGACCAAACTCAGGATTAGGATTTATTTAGAATCCATTAGTTACGAAAACACCACTGTCAGGTCCAAATACCATTCTTATTCCATAAAATTGGTGAAACAAACAGGCCCTATGGGCCTGTTTGGTTCAATAGAGGCTAGGAATAGGATTAGGAATCCTATTTTATTTATGGATTCCTACCTAATCCATAAAAAATTTATAGACAAGTTTTAGTTTTATGGAATCCTATTTTTGTTGCATTCTATGTTTGTTTCACCCAAAGAAAAAAGAATCTCACAATTATATAAACCCTCCAATTCCTAATACCATATTTGGTTCAAAATGAAATCTTTTTAGGGATCAACACTGTAGCAATAGCTAGCTCACTGATCATCACAAAATTACTGTAGCAACGGCTATTTCCACCATCTTCAAAATTCAAATACATAACACTGTAGCAACGGCTAGTTCAGGGTCATAGTGGCTATAAATTCAACTTGAGGCCTCAAATTAATCCATGCACTCTCATTTCTTAGCAATTTATAAATTCCCATTGTCTGCAATTTGGATCCCAGACATTAATATGATATCAGAAGAGTGCTACCAAAATTATGAAGTTTATTGCGACTGCAATCTCCGAACACCGATGAAAATGTGTAAGAATGGTAAAAATAAGGGAATGTGTTATTAGGGGTGTGCAAAATTCTCAAATAAAGAATACAATTTTTTCGAATAGGTTGATGAAAGAGGAGACCCAAGCAACCAAGGAAGCTAATATGTCAAAGAAAATAGGTACGGAGATAAATATATTTTTTGCAATCAAAAAGGCTGAAGAAAGAATTGAGACTTGTCGAAAATCAACTACTAGCTTAGAAAATTTCACCAATTTTATAAGCAATTTTTTGTATTATTTTAATTATTATAAACTGCATGTCATGTACTTGTAATTGTAAAAACTATTGAGGATGTAATGAAAATTGTTTTTGGAATTGGTATAATTTCTAATTGGTATTGTATGGCTCAGTAATAGATCAACTTGTCATAATTGATTGCCCCACCTATAACTTACATGTTTATTAAATAGATCAACTTGTCATAATTGATTGCCCCACCTATAACTTACATGTTTATTACAGATTGCATTATAAGGATGAATTGCCTCGCCTAGACATTATCAATTCAATGTAGGCTGCAATCTCATCCCTTTTTGCCTCATCTGAATATAATAAATAATGTAAGTTAGATTACATTCTCAGTAAACGCTAATCATCATCATTACCAAATATCAACTGTAAGGAGCTACGCAAGCTCAAAACAAAACAGCAAGTAACCCACAGGTAAGGAAAAATAAAACACCTGAAACATAGCAGCCTACATAGCTACACAAGCTCAAAAAAATAGCAACAAACCCAAAGGCAACAAAGCAATCCAAGCTCCAGCGAAAACATCAGCAAACCCAAAGGCAATGAGCTACACAAGCTCCAAACAAAACAGTAGCAAACCCAATTCACATGAGGTACACAAGCTCAAAACAAAATAGCAACAAACCCAACAGCAAGGAGCTACACAAGCTCCAAACACAGTAGCAAACCCAGTAGCAATGGGGTACAAAAGCTCCAAACAAAACAATAACAAACCCAATTCACAGGAGCTACACAAGCTCAGAACAAAACAGCAACAAACCCAGCAGCAAAGACCTACACAAGCTCCAAACAACGGCGGCAAACCCAATTCACAGGAGCTACATAAGCTCAGAACAAACAGCAACAAACCCAAAGAGCAAGGAGCTACACAAGCTCCAAATAACAGCCAATAACCCACAGCAACCACATGTGACTTTGGAGCAATAAACCCAAAGTCATAGCCAGCAGGAGGTCCACTGCTTTGAGCTTCTAAACCAATAGCAGTTAACCCAAGAAATAGAATGTAAAAGCCGACATCAGTAAACCCAAGCAACAAACCCATTTAACTGATATCAAAAGCAAAGGCAAAATTCAAAGAACTCATTGATCATTCCACGACCAT